TAGCGCTGTCCAACTTATCATAGCCCGCGGGCCATATTTTCTTCACCAAACATTTCGGGGGCCAAGAAGGTTGCTGCTGTATTCAGCCAGGTTAAGTGAAGTTACGCAAACTAAATAGTACCTACTTTAAATTCAAATTAGATTTAAATTTTCACATAGTAAAATAATTTTAATATTAATAATAATAATTTAGTAACATAAATTTATTCATAGTAAAATGTACTCGGGGGCCGTAAAAATTATTTGGCGGGCCGTATACGGCCCGCCAGTTGGACAGCCCTGTTGTAGATAATTTCAGATAATTGAAACAGATAAATAATAGAGATGGAGAACAAACAATTTATTAAAAAATAAATAAATATCACATATTGGATGAAATATTTTATATCTATGTTACTCTTTTTTTTAAAATTAACAATGAGATTCATACAATTTAATTTCAGTATTAAAATATTTTCATTAATGTAATTTAGAACTACAGTGTGTGTTCTTTAGGCATTAAAATTTCATTCAAATAATAGATTTAATGCAATAAGCAACTCCATACCTCCCAAAAATTTTTAATAGGATAAAATGTTTTCAGTCTCTTTAAAGAGCCTGTGTCAAGTTTTAAAACTGTTTTAAAATCCTATTAGAAATTTTTGCTGGAAAGAGTACAGGTGTGGTTGTGTATTGCTAAAGTGTATCAGCTTCTCAAGGGTATAATGCTTAAATTAAAAAACTTATTGGGCATAATATGCTATAATTAAGCCAGGGATAAAAGTGTTAATAAAAATGAAAATTACATTAAAAAGTAAAATTCTTTACTAAAGCAAAATTAAAGAAATTAATACCAAAGCCCCATTAGTCCCAAGAAGGAAATCATTCCTTATTTCAGCAGTTCCCATGTTCACAAGAATATCTTGTAGTAGTAACAACTCCTTGATTCTCTGTATCTCTTGTTGCTGTCTTTCTGCTTGTTCTCTTTTAGCAGCTTTCTTCTGAAGCTTGACACACTAAATTTAAATTTAAAATTTCACGTTTAAAAAATCTTACTTGTAAAATGAATTGTTATAAAACTCATTATTTACCTCATGAACAACACCATTAAAAGACTTCTGTAGTTCTTTTGCAAACTCCAACAGCTCCACAACAAGATCATATTTTTTAATGGCATTCTGAAATTATATATCAATTATACAATTTATATTGGTAAAACAAACTGATTGAATGAAAAATAATTACCTTTTGATCTTCATTTAGTTCTTTTCCATTTTTATGGTCACTTTTATAAGTATCCAATTTACCCTAATAAAAAAATTTATTGTTAACTATTATATTTTTAATATAATTTTCTTCACTGTTTAAAATTATATACGTATAATGTGGAAAGATCTCTCCTTGCAAAGCTGATTAGGAACAAGTAAAAATACTTTGCGGAAGTCAAGCTCTATGTGGTGCATCTTCAATTTACCAAAGTGTGTGACCCATTTATAAATTATTGTGATATTTTTAAAATGCTGTTCTTGAGATTAGGATATATGGACAGATGAACGATAGTGGAAATCTATAAACTGTAGCCCAAAAAGTACACTGTCTAACTTTTTTGGGTTACAACTGCACTGTTTATTAGAAAGTACTTACTATGAGAAAACAACTATTAATGAAATAAACCCAGTAATTTTTCACCTTTATCACCTTAAGCATAACACAATATTCTCACACCTTATTTCAGCACATGGTAAGAGTGACAACACTAAATAGAATGTGCAATTTTTCAGTTTATAATAAGCCTTATCTTTGTCCAATAGACAGGGACTTATTATTAGTCAAGTAGTTGTTCAGAAGAATTTTTCACTGAATATACAGTAAGGGATGTAGTTTATAGATTCTAGAGGAACTACGTAGTTTTTACTATAGCTTACAGTGACCGTAAACGAAAATGTTCAGTTCCCTTTTGTACATGCACGTGGACATGCACAATGAATGGATTGAACAGAACATAACTTGGGTAATGACAATGAAGTCATTGTGCATGTGTGTGGACATGCACAATAAATGGATTGAACAGATCATGCATGCACACATCTGACAGACATACAAAATTTCTAACATAAGCACTTCACCACTATAGGAGCAGGCTAAAAAAGTAACAAGATGACTGATCTTCTCCAATGCCAATGTGGATAACCTTTATTTAGACTAATTAAATGAAGTTTGTCATAATATTAAATAAATCTTAACTTTATGTAATACAATAATTAATCATTTCTTGTTAACTACCTGTCAAGTCAAAGTAACTCATGCAACAAATATAGTTTATTCTTTAGATTAGTGACAAAGTTAAATTTATTCCATGAACATGTATTCTGTGATTTAAACAATTCTTGCAACTGACCCTTAAAAGCACTTATACCATATAACAAATTTATAAATGTCCAAAAATACAAAATAATGTTCCTTTTTTTATCTGATTATAATTTCTCTTTGAAGCATAAATATTTAGATTTTATAAGAAATTAATCTTGTAGATCAGCGCTGTCCAACTTATCATAGCCCGCGGGCCATATTTTCTTCACCAAACATTTCGGGGGCCAAGAAGGTTGCTTCTGTATTCAGCCAGGTTAAGTGAAGTTACGCAAACTAAATAGTACCTACTTTAAATTCAAATTAGATTTAAATTTTCACATAGTAAAATAATTTTAATATTAATAATAATAATTTAGTAACATAAATTTATTCATAGTAAAATGTACTCGGGGGCCGTAAAAATTATTTGGCGGGCCGTATACGGCCCGCCAGTTGGACAGCCCTGTTGTAGATAATTTCAGATAATTGAAACAGATAAATAATAGAGATGGAGAACAAACAATTTATTAAAAAATAAATAAATATCACATATTGGATGAAATATTTTATATCTATGTTACTCTTTTTTTTAAAATTAACAATGAGATTCATACAATTTAATTTCAGTATTAAAATATTTTCATTAATGTAATTTAGAACTACAGTGTGTGTTCTTTAGGCATTAAAATTTCATTCAAATAATAGATTTAATGCAATAAGCAACTCCATACCTCCCAAAAATTTTTAATAGGATAAAATGTTTTCAGTCTCTTTAAAGAGCCTGTGTCAAGTTTTAAAACTGTTTTAAAATCCTATTAGAAATTTTTGCTGGAAAGAGTACAGGTGTGGTTGTGTATTGCTAAAGTGTATCAGCTTCTCAAGGGTATAATGCTTAAATTAAAAAACTTATTGGGCATAATATGCTATAATTAAGCCAGGGATAAAAGTGTTAATAAAAATGAAAATTACATTAAAAAGTAAAATTCTTTACTAAAGCAAAATTAAAGAAATTAATACCAAAGCCCCATTAGTCCCAAGAAGGAAATCATTCCTTATTTCAGCAGTTCCCATGTTCACAAGAATATCTTGTAGTAGTAACAACTCCTTGATTCTCTGTATCTCTTGTTGCTGTCTTTCTGCTTGTTCTCTTTTAGCAGCTTTCTTCTGAAGCTTGACACACTAAATTTAAATTTAAAATTTCACGTTTAAAAAATCTTACTTGTAAAATGAATTGTTATAAAACTCATTATTTACCTCATGAACAACACCATTAAAAGACTTCTGTAGTTCTTTTGCAAACTCCAACAGCTCCACAACAAGATCATATTTTTTAATGGCATTCTGAAATTATATATCAATTATACAATTTATATTGGTAAAACAAACTGATTGAATGAAAAATAATTACCTTTTGATCTTCATTTAGTTCTTTTCCATTTTTATGGTCACTTTTATAAGTATCCAATTTACCCTAATAAAAAAATTTATTGTTAACTATTATATTTTTAATATAATTTTCTTCACTGTTTAAAATTATATACGTATAATGTGGAAAGATCTCTCCTTGCAAAGCTGATTAGGAACAAGTAAAAATACTTTGCGGAAGTCAAGCTCTATGTGGTGCATCTTCAATTTACCAAAGTGTGTGACCCATTTATAAATTATTGTGATATTTTTAAAATGCTGTTCTTGAGATTAGGATATATGGACAGATGAACGATAGTGGAAATCTATAAACTGTAGCCCAAAAAGTACACTGTCTAACTTTTTTGGGTTACAACTGCACTGTTTATTAGAAAGTACTTACTATGAGAAAACAACTATTAATGAAATAAACCCAGTAATTTTTCACCTTTATCACCTTAAGCATAACACAATATTCTCACACCTTATTTCAGCACATGGTAAGAGTGACAACACTAAATAGAATGTGCAATTTTTCAGTTTATAATAAGCCTTATCTTTGTCCAATAGACAGGGACTTATTATTAGTGTGTGCTATCTATAACTTTTTTCCCATCTTGCAGCTATACTGTTTATTATAAAGAGTTTACTATTAGAGGGTATTGTATATCAATATCTAACTTGTTTGTAGAAATAAATGAGATTTATTAGAAATCAATTTAAAATTTGTAGAAAATGGTTCTTCAATATTACTATCTAATATATTTGTATCACTATGTTCATAGCAGAAATACTTTATTATTGAGTTACATAAAAACCAGTTTTTATTAAAAAAAATCTTACACAAATGTTATACTTTATTAAAATAGTCTATGCATTTGTAATTTTAAATAGAATTTTAATATTTATTACTACTTCCTTAGAAAACATTACTCATTACCTTTAAATTTAAAAAATGTATTTATTTAAATGAACAATTACTTTAAATAATACTATTATTATTCCAGATGTTTATTCTAGTCAATAATTATAATTACATTTCATCAATAGCATGCTAATTTGAGAGTAATTAATGCTCGATTTTATAATTTATTATTAATTAAAAATTAGCAAAGTAAAAATTGAGCCAGAATTAGCAAAAGAATCAATATTTTAATTTCACATTCACTTAATGCTTGTATAAATTCTTCATGTAGAGGAAAGGAAACAAAGGACATACCAACTCAATGATATTTCCTTTAATGATAAAATCTTACAAGTAAATCTTAACAACAAAGGAAATACCAGAGTTATGACTAATTCAGCTCATTGAATATTTCCAAAGTAAAAAAAAATTTGCAAAATAACTAGAATATTACAATTCATGGAACTCATCCTTCTATGATTATCTAAAATTACAATATATCTGTTGACACCATAATTTTCATACAAAGTTCTTTAATCACTAGGAAATACTTCAACTAATTTGTTCACAGCAATGAAAAATATATCACAGTTCTTAAAACAAATGATTTATACCATTCTGATATAAAATACAAACTTATCTACCAATATAACACAGGTCAACAGTAGATTCACCAATCATTTTAGCTACTTTTATGGTAAAATAATCACAAACCTTATTTTTTCACAAAGTGAAACCACTACTTTATAAAACTATTTCATAAATTTTATAAATTTTTTTTTACTTTTCAAGCTAACAGAATTTCTGCAAGTCTATAACTCTTATAGCTAAATAACATACTTTATTACAAAAATTGGACAGAGAAAGGAAGAAAATTAATCTCCTTATGAAATTTTTCAAGTATTCAATTTGTTAATAATGAGGCAGAAAATGAATGTTTTTTATTTTTTTTTTAAATGCAGCACTACAACCCCCTTCCTGTTTGAAATATTATATAAAAAAAAAAAAAACTAATTTCAAAATATTACTTGTACTATTCTGGCTAATCACATAACTATCTCTAATGTATGTAAATTAGTTAGAAAAAGTATGTAAATATTGTATCCAACTTAGAAAAATCACATTGTACAGCTGTCCTTACAGTTTTAAACATAAAAAAATAAAAAATGTTAATACATGTACATGTTCTGTTGTAAAGCCTGTAAATATTATGAAATTAAAGTAAAAAGCTACTTCTATAGAACACTCACATTCTGTTCATTTAATTTAAAGTGCATTTTAGCTGTAATTAGAAATAACACAAAAATGAGGTGTCATTACAATTATGAACAAAAATGTTTATATTTGTATATACACAAGCATCATCATGTATCTTCTGTATCTAAATAAACATTGTGGTTCACTTAAAAACCTAAAATTGGCTTAAAGTTCTAAAAATTACTGGATCTTGATTTTAAGAATGTTGAAGTTTGCATTATTAAAAATTCTCAATGAATTTTGTCTGAATAAAAGATAAATAAAAATTAATAATAATATACTTTCTAGATAACAGGGTAGCACATAATTATGTCCNTAAGATCGTTTTATTTTTTCCATTTAGCTGATCTTCACCCTGAAAATACAGAAAAGAGAAACTAAAAATGAGAAGAAGAAAATTCAATTTCGCAAGAATGAAATTCATCATTTAATGTTAAGAATTTGTATTTCACCCTTGCCTATGTTGTGAGTTTTTCTTATCGAGAACGACTTATGAGGAAAGTATACTTATAATAAGTTTTTTAAATATACGATATTCTTTTTATTTAAATGTAACATATTATACAACATTACATTTAACAATACGAATGAATAAGAATATGAATAATACATTCTAATGTTAAACTCATTTAAATTTAAATTTTCATAAATGTTATTATTTTCAGATGTTCTTTGAATGAAACATTGGATGAAATTTTGAAGAAAGTATTGTCTAAGATTATAAAAAAATTGTATATTACATAAACTGCTTTACTGACATCGGTGCTCTTCGATTAAAATACAAAAGAAGCGGGAAATCCACTGCAAAGATATAGAAGAGAATTCATGAAGATTACACTACAAAAATGTTTTACAGAAATCGTTTACTTTAATATGTCGTCCCTGATTAACTGCTGTTAAAAATATTAGTACTGTAACATAATATTGTATAATAATACTTGAACATTATTATTTCCAAATTACTCTTTTGTGTTTTGATGTAGAAATTTGCTATTAGATATAAAAATTAATAATAATAAATTTCGCTTACACTCGTTGAAATCTTATTACAAACAAAATAGATTATGTACAATAGAATAATATTGTATAATAATACTTGAACATTATTATTTCCAAATTACTCTTTTGTGTTTTGATGTAGAAATTTGCTATTAGAAATAAAAATTAATAATAATATACTTTCTAGATAACAGGGTAGCACATAATTATGTCCTTTGTTTTATTTTAAAGTAATTGTGTTACACATTAAATTACATATTATAAAATGCATCCTAGTGGAGGATTTCAAATATTGCACCTTGCAATGGCTCTTTAGAAAAATTGTTCCTTAGAATGTCTTTGGTATGTGAACATGCAGGAAAAAAATGAGAAGTGCCAATGAGGCAAGGAAAATATGTGCAACGCTGAATAACCTTTTCCATGGACACTGGATTGGGAATAGTAATAACCAAGGCTTCCAAGATAACTCAATGCTACCTCTTAGATTTCCTCTGGGTTTTATGAAGGACTGCATTTAGACAACAAAGCCAATGTTATTCAAGAGCTTACAGACAGAACTGTAGTAACCTGTGCATCTTGTGATGCCAGAAATATTATTGGACGTCTGAGGAGACAAAATACCACAAGAGCATGTACTGTACATCAATATTGCAGGTGGTCTCTTCAATAAAGACTCAAAATCCTTCACATTTTGTCATATATAATTTAATGTGTAGGAATTTCAACACAATTACTTTAAAATAAAATAGGGGATATAATTATGATAATTAGAGAACAAAATATAAGGTTTGCCCAATACTTTTTAAACTTACAATTTCATATAAATACTAAAATTTATCACTATAGAAATAAACACCTTAATTGTTTCTCTATGTCTTTATTATATTCATATATAAACATCTCAAGGCCTGATAGTTATATTAAAACTAAATTGTATTATTTTAAATAAAATAATTTGGTAATTTGATATAATTAAATTATTTAATAAATACTAATTAAATTAAATTAATTATTATTAAATTTAGTAAGAGATGGTGGCTAATGCCTACCTCTAGTGCCAAATTACTCAGTATTTAAATAGCAGTAATACAGCCTGATTTAAATCAGTGAATAAAATGTAGCCAAAGAATTGCTAACAATATAAAAAAAAGTTAAAAAAATTTTATTTCAGAGAAAATCTAATGTAAGCATTGTTTCATTAATTCAAGAACTCATGATTAAGACTTCTGATTATTCATGCATATTATTTTTACAAGGAGAAAAAGCTTGATGGACAGAAGAGATGAATTCAATGGACTTATTGTACCAATTCTGTCAGTAATCAATAGTTTGAACCTCATTTGTAAATCTTCACTAATCACAGGACATTTGGAAATTTACAAATTAAGTACTTATGTAACTCCTTTTTCTCTCTAATCAAAAATCAAAACAAAGGAAACTATTCTTCTTTGAAGTAAATAGTTTTAAAATTCAAATTATTTATAGCTCATCTTCAGGGAATAAACTATAAAAAAAATCAAATTTTGATCATCAAAAATTCTATAACATATTCCAATTTCTACAAATCAATCACACAAAATGGCCCTGTTTATAATTATTCAACAACACTACAATGCATTTTGATATTAGCATAGCTTGAATAAATTTTGTGACCAAGGTAATTTCTAATACATCTATCAGAACTATGACAAAAAGTTCAGTTACAGAACAAATCAGAAAAATAAAAACTATGCTCATTCATACTGATGCATTCTAACAATAAAGAAAAAGTTCAATTATTTATTGAATGTATCAGATATAATATTCAACATGTACATTTACAGTAAATATCATGTAACAAAAGTATTTAATTCAAAACTTACATTTCTTAAGTCTGAATAAATGAAGATTAAGAAATGAATCCGAAA